GCATTAGCTTCCCACTCATAATGGTCACGGAGATCTTGTGATATTTCTATTGTGGCACATTTAGAAGCGAATAAGTGACAAGATCTTCAATGGAAAGCAATGGCTAGCTGTTTGAGTTGTGCAAAGTACTAAGGAACGGAATATATTATTCATGTTACCTGATATCTCCTAAGACTTTTTTTTGTTCGACCTCTTTTGTGTTTTATGGTGTGAATTTGGGTTATATTATTTTCACATATTGATTCACTCCTATATAATAATAAAAAAAGTCTTTATTTTATTTTCTTATATGATTGCATAGTTAAAAAGCACCACTTTAATTTTTTATAATTTCTTAAATGAATTACTTTTAAATATAATTATCCATAAAATATAATGTTCAGATTCGTTATTTATTGCTTATAGAATATTATGGCTCATGTTAGATATTCCAAATGTTTTAGGTTCTAATTTGTTAAGAGTTGTGGCAACATGCCAACTTATTCATGGTTCACCACAAATTAGATTAAAATGAGTTGGTCTAGCTCATTTTAGCAGTTGACTAAAGAATAACAAACTCGACTCAACTTACCGGAGTTGATGAGTTAAAACAGTTGATTCACCTAATTTTAGAAAAAGGAAAAACATAAAAATAGAAAACAGGACGGTTCGTATTTGTCGCTGGTGTGTGCTCACAAGATTTGTCATGGGTTTGCCCGTCTTTCTATCTTTCAAAATAAAAGTTTGAACTTACTCAACCCAACTTTTGGGGGGGACAGAATTATATGGGTAGGGTAAACAATAACAGAAGGTCTTGATAACTTTTTGTTTTCCTTTTTGATCAGCTTAGACTAATTTGGTTCACATGCCAGAACACATTTTGACAATATAGAGTTTGAATCAACAATCTTATAATTAAGCCAATTGCTCTTTTCAGTTTTTTACTTTTTTTACTTTTCTTTTTCTTCTTTCTTTTCTTTTTTTACTATTCATCACAATGGTTTTCCAAAAACCAATCAGAGGGTCAAATGAGCTGTTTTTCTAATTAACAGTTTATATATATATATATATATATATATATATATGTGTGTGTATGTGTGTGTGATAAAATATTTCTGCAGATAAGTTATCTGCATTTACTTCCAAGACGACGTCGTTTTGGAATCGAAAGATTAGAAAATTATAATTATAAAGATTATAATAACCCTGAAATAAATTAAAAATACAAAAATACCATGATTTCCGTCCCAAAACGACGTCGTATTGGCCTTATTGCAGAAAAATGTGAACCCATATATATATATATATAGAAAAGATATTTCTAGAGCCACTTTAGATAAGGTTATCTACAGCTACCCCAAAAACTACGTCGTTTTGATTAATGAAAGATGTTTCTGTAATTTTAGGTAAATTAATGAAGGGTGTTTCCGTAATTTTGTTTATTTTTTTATCATATACATTTTACTGAATAACCCATCATTAATCCTCTGAAATTACAGAAACACCCTTCATTAATCAAAACGACATAATTTTTTGGGTAGCTGTAGATAATCTTATCTAAAGTGGTTGTAGAAATATTTATCTATATATATATATGGGCATGATCTTTTTACACCGATGTAAGATTAACTAGTTTTACACCACACCTTAACCATTAATAAACGAAAATCATGGATTGTCATTTTTAGTGTAATTAATAATTAATTAATATTGATTAATTCGTTTGAATTCTTAAATTATAACCGTTGGATGCACGGAAATCAACGGAGATGTGGTGTAACAATTATTAGTCTTACACCGATATAAAATGATCTCGATATATATATTTATATATATACATATATATATATTTATATATATACATATATATATATATATATATATATATATATAGGTAGGATCCTTTGACATCACTGTCAAATTTAAAATTTGACACCTCATCTGAAAGCCATTAGATCAAAAAAGATCAACGACTCTGATTTGTAAGCATGTGACATCATTGATCTTTTTTGATCTAATGACTCTCAGATGAGGTGTCAAATTTTAAATTTGACACCAGTGTCAAATGATCCTACCTCATATATATATGATCAACTTACAACAGTGTAAGAATAATAAATCTTACACAAAGCCTTAACCGTTGATTTCGGTGCATCTAATTGTTATAATTTATTGAAAATTAATAATTAATTAATGAGTAAGACCTAATAAATTACAATCATTAAATGCACGGAAATCAACCGTTAAGATTTGATATAAGACTTATTATTATTATTATTATTTTTTTGGAGTTACCCAACCCTAATTATCTCTTTGAGACGAGTTGGCTCCCTCCGGTATCCCCACGAGCTTCGACTCTTTGAACCGGCTATGAGACTAATCTAGAGTGCGGGGGAACAGTGAGACTTATTATTATTCTTACACTGGTGTATATATATAAACCGTTTATTTGTTATATAAATTTCTTATAGAAAAAGTCAACAACAAAATTTGAAAATATTTTGTTTGCCTATGTGATTATATTTTATCAAAAAAATATTTCTGCAGTTACTGCAGATAAGTTATCTGTATTTACTCTCAAAACAACGTCGTTTTCGGATTGAAAAATTAAAACATTATAATTATAAAGACTATAATAACCCTGAAATAAATTAAAATTACAAAAACACTATGACTTCCGCTCCAAAACAATGTCGTTTTGGGCTTACTGTAGATAACTTATCTGCAATAACTAGAGAAAAAACGAAACCATATTTTATTGATGTAAAGGTGTTTGGACAAGTTGATATGTAGCCAAGGATTTGTGATTATTCTGAGATCAGAAATGAAAGTGGGCTTTAAACCCAAAATAAAAAAGCTGGGCTAGATAGTAGTACTCAGAATTTCTAATTTGAAATGACGATTGATATTGATAACACAAATATGTGCTGGGCCTAACCTGGAGTTCATGGGAAGCAACAAAGAAAAATTAAAAAATTCAAGTCTTTTGTAGTGAAGAAATGAAGGACGATGAATACATTATACATGTCTTCCTTTGAACTTGGCTAGCCCAATCATGCTCTGGACCTAAACCAAAACCTTGGTAGTTAGAACCAAGAGCTACAACAGCTCTTGGGAATGAACAGAAACCAGTGTGTGGTTTGTTTATTGAGACAAAAGCCCAACGACTTGAATGCAGGTGCTGGAGGCATGTCTCTCATGGTAAAATGGGCTGAATTTTCCCATAAATACGGTCTAACGCAATAATGTTGTAGAACCTCTTCAAAGTTGGAAGTGCCAAGTTTTTTTTTTTTTTTTTTTAAAGTTTGAAGTGCCAAGCTTTGCTGTGTTACCAATAAAATAGGAAGTTTGATAGTGAAGTAACGAATGCACAATACATAGGGTCTGTTTGGATGCGCTATCAAAAATAGTATTTTTTATGTCTTACTTATTTTAAAAGTGTTTTTTTATCAAAGTTAAAGTTATTTAAATTTTTGAAAAAAAATATTTGGTTTTTGAAAAAAATATTTACATTTGACTTATATTTTTTTTGGAAATTAAAATCTTTAACTTCCAAAAAAGCAAGTTTTTGATTTTTCTTTTTATAATATCTGTTTTTTTTAAGACAGATATTCAAACAGACTCAAAGTCTGTTTTTTATAATATCTTATGAGAAGTATTTTTTTTCTTTTGAAAAAAATAACTTTTGAAGAAGAAAAAAAACTCATCCATACAGACTCAAAGTCGACGTCCATTGCAAAATCAACTTTTTTTTATGGTGAGCAAACCAACTTAATTATGTTCATATTTGAACAAATAAATAGAAATTAAAGTGATAAACTCTATATTTGCTGCTTTGAATTATTTCTTGCCACTTTTTTACTATATTCAAGATATAGTATAAACTAAATAAATCATAATACGTGAACTTCTTATGCATACGCAACTAACTTCAGATGTTATATATGAAATCATAAATATACAGCAGGCTCAGACCAGAAAATAAGATGTAACTAAATACATTTATGCCATATATGATGTTTTCAGTGATGTGATAATTAAGAATATTGGAGGCGATGATATATAATTTATCAAAGTAATCCCTATAAATTTCTTCAATTTCGTTCTCATAATTTGAAATCTCAATCTCCCCACCCCACCACACACACACACAAAATTCCTCCATCTATTTTAAGGTTATTAACTTCAAAAACTTTTCTTTGATGCAAAAATGAGATACCATACCCAACTCAATTCCGATGTTAAACAATGTTGTTTTGCTAAGTATACACATAATTTGAAGCTTGTATGTGCATAATATTTTATTTTAAAGAATCTTTATAATCATTTAACATGACCACACAAAATTTTTTACATACACAACATTTTGTGCGACCCGCATGTTTTGAAGAAAAAAGAAAAAGAAAAAACTATGGCATGCAAAACGAATCTCTATAACATAACACAATCATTTTTCCTACAACATAAAACCTATAAAACCCAATTTACAAAAAAAAAAACTTATAAAACCCATACTTTATATATACAAATAGAGTTTGTCGTGGGTTATATCGCACGACAAATCTCTTGTCATAATATAAACACAATAGTATGGATCCCACCACTTTAAATAAAAAAAATGATTTCACAATTTTCGTAATGTCAGTGGGATGGAAAATTAATTTCCCGCAACAATAGAAGAATTTATTTTCCCATACAAATATTAAACGAGATTATTTTTCTATGATTAAACAAATTAGACACATCATGTTATTTTTTAACTTGAAAATGTTTGACGGTAACTGAGCTTTCAAAATTAAATTTTTGAAAAATCTTTGGGTCGGAGGAAATTAAATGAGGATACTCTCCACGTTATATAAAAAGGAGAGAGAGAGAAAAAAAACTAAAAATTTAATTTCTAGAGACTAAAATAATAAAAAGATTCTTTAAGAAATTAAGGTGAACAAACTTATTTTTGAGGGATCAAAATAAAATTACTTTATTTTTGCAGGGCCAGATAGAAGTGTGCCAATCATTGCAATTAGCAGGAAAGAACGAAGGGTGGTACTGTCCTTTTATGGGACGTAATAACATATAACTGTAGAACATGTTTTTGTTTAACACAAACAACAATTAGGGAATTGGGTTTTGATGAATAATGATGAACGGAGTGAGGCGTAGATTGTTGCATACTCTTTGTGGCGATGTGCCGACACAAACACTGAAGAGAAAGGCGTTGGATTTGGAGAAGAAAAGGAAGATTAGGAAGTCGAAGACCAAGGACCAGTTCATCGTTGAAGTCCCCGAATCCATGTCGTACCTCGACACCGCCACCATGCCCATGATTGCCGGTGCCGTTGGAGTTGCAGTATTCGCCAAGATCCTCATGATGGTACCCCTCAACTTCGTTTTACAATTCAGATCGTGGGTGGTTTATACTGCACATTACTTGTTTGATGAAATTACAAACTGAACTAGTCACTCGCTAAAGTGTAATGTAATAGATTAATATATTAATAGGGTGGCATTGGCAGATTGATGAATCGAAATCCCAAGAGTTGCTGGAGCGCAAGATAAAGAATGCTCCTGAAGGTCAAGGCACGGTGAGAATGCTGAGCCGTGAGGAGTGGGAGAAGATTCAAGAAATCAGGCCTAGGACTCCATTTGAGTCTAAGTTTGCTCGCCCTAATGCCAGAATAAGAACCGGAGAACCATTGCGTCTGGTAATACACACTAACACTATATGCCTTATTTTCTTTATATGCATGCTTGCAAAATGATACAAAGGACGAACCCCTAGTCTTACTCAGATAACCAAAGTTGCCACAAGAGATTACTCACTCCTTAATAGCTCTCATTATCAACCCAAGCTAGATTTAAGATTTAGCACATAAGACTTGCTTAGATAATGGGTGTATTTGGATAAGTTTTTGAAAATTGTGTTTTTATGACATAGTTTTTTTTTTTTTTTTTTTTTTTAAAAAGAAAAAAACTTTTGTTATTATCATAATTTTTCTTTAAAAAAAAAGTGCTAGCAAACCTGCCTCATAATTTAATTACTAGAGAAGTATTTAGCGGCTCTGAATTTTCCTAACATTATGTCTACAGGAGGACTTAAAGGATTGGACAATTGATGTTCTCATGGATGCTGTTAGCAGAGTTGAAGAGTATGCTAAATATGGTTCGAAGTGATGTGCAACTTGTCCTGAGCTTAACCTTGTTTTATCTATGACTTCGAATTATTCTCTTTTTTGAATGCTGAATATAAATAATTTCCAGTACTATGTGTTGTGATGAGATGACACGGAATCATAATAACTACATCGTTTACCTTAATTTTCATCCGGGAAAATTGCATTGATTGTTTGGTGGACACGAATTACCGAATGGGAGGTATATCTTTTTATGTACTCTTTAAAACAATAAATGATAACTGGTGGTGTACATTCATCAGAACAAAGACTTTAATACGAATAGCACCTGAATTAGACAACGGCAATGTGCATTTTCAGAATTTTTACCAAAACTTGTAGGTAGAGATAGATGGCTGGTTTGACAATTCATAAAGAATATATTTAGTTTCTTGACAACAGTAGTAGCATCCTTTTTATGTTGGATTTATCTTGTCTTATTAACTACTGACTAGTGCCTCACTTACTTCAACAGGGTGATGAATATAAGTTTCACTTTTTTTTCCCTCGAATAAATGATGACTTAAAATTCAAATCCTAAAATTGACTGATTCATTGTTACAGTCTTAACATAAAAGATACAATCTAAAATATAGTAAAATATCCTTACTCTCTTGTTTATTAAGCCAACTAACAAAGGTCACGAGGGGTCAGTCAGTCTAACAGAGATTTATAGCTCGGCTTACATCAGACTAACCTTGGCCTATTACATATAATTAAATAAAATATGTTCAGACTTCAAAAAAAGTATATTTAGAAAGCATATCATAAGCTTTTTATTACTTACCAGACCTATAAGCTTACAGACTAATCTATATTATATTATTTGTTTTAAATAAAATAATTAAATTATTATTTTAATAATTTTGAATAATAAAATAATATTATCTTAATTATTTTTTCTAATTATTGAATGTCTAATAGGCTTAAAACAAGTTAACAAGTTTAGGCCAAGATTTTTGCCTTTTAAATATAGGTCAAAGCAGACATATAATTTGAATCTACACAAGACTAACAGATCAAGTCAAGCCTAAAATATTTTACATAGACTTGACTTATTTGAATCAAAGTCTAGCTCGGCCTAATTTATTTACACCCTTAGCTATGAACAAGAGAATAAATTGAATTAAAGAGCCTTATAGGCTTTATATATGTCAAGCGAGTCCAAAAGAAACACGTGATAGAAACCACCACCAATGAACTAAAGCTATATTAAGTTATTAACCTATCAAATGGATTTAATATCATGTCTCAATCCAAAACCTTAAAGCATTAAATTTATGAATCCTCCCACTTATATGAACTTCACCGTTATATAAATGTCGGAAATCCAAAGACATTTGTACGCATAGATGCTCTAATAAAAGGGCAGCGGTATCTAAAAATGAAAAAAAAAAAAAATCTTTTTATTCTTTTTGTTTCATTAAAGAGAATCATCATGAGCAGATTCTTCACCATGTTATATCAAAGGACCTTAGGTCAAAGATATCCCAGCTAGGAACATATACAAGAAATGACATGAAGGAAATGTAAACCACAATTTCTGCTACCCCTCTTTAAAAGTGAAAAGAGGGAGAAATTCTTTCTGCATCCCTTCGCGTTTAGAAGTTAAGGAACTTATTTTGATAGTCCAAGATCAAGCAATTTCATTGAAAATAATCTTCATAGTCATCACTTATCACAGACACAAAACTCTCGAGCCATGGAAGCTGATGCAGATCCTTGATTGCATCCACATAGGAGTCCGAACAGCGGGGAGGAGGAGACTGGTAAGAATGATGGTCACTCAAACCTAAACCTCCAGTTAAAAACCTTTGAATAAGCGCAAGCTGTGATTGTTCTTGGTCGGAGTATGCATCTGTGATCATGGGGATAGAATTGAAAGTCTCCCATGCCCATTGTTCTGATTCTTGGAGAGAGTGTGATGCTGAGTCTTCAGAGTTGTCTTCATCCCAAAATGCACACTGACATGTCTGTTGACCATCCCGGTATTCCGCACCACAAGAATAACAAAACTCATGACCACACCTGATATTAAGACACAATTGAATCAACAAGAAGAAAGTATGACTTGCATATGGAAACTAAAACTAAAATGAATTGTATTTAACAAATATAATCTCCATAAGAAGGAAAAGCGATACCATACAACAAAGAAGGAAGAAAACAGAACTTGCATTTGACAATGGTATTAAATAGGAAGATCTCTCCTATTCATGTAAACTTCCATAAGATATACTATTCCACTTTCAATATGTACTGTGAGTGCCTACGCTGAACAGGTTTTCAGATCTGGGCTTCATATGTCATGCAATAATAAAATATTTAATGAAATTTATATAAAATTAATCTAGATTGTCTTCCAAATAAAGGGCAGTTGTATCTTACCAGCATGTCATGTGGTAACAACCTTGAGTAAGCTCAATCATCCTACGACATTGCTGACAGCGCTTCCACCTATTATTCTGAGCAAGGCGATGCAAAGTAATGTCAGAAGCATCTCTATCCTCCTCTGGAAGATTCTGAAATTCTTCACAGCTCATAGAAGAATGCCATGGTACCTTACAGTCCACACAGATAAACCTCTGACAAACAGGACACTCAACACAAGAATTGTCTGACTGACTAGATGAACTAGCCCTAGCTGATAAACATTTATGAGGATCAATGAGAACAGAGCAATTTGGAAATGGACAGTAAATTCTATCTGAATAGAGTAAACTTGCTTCTGCAAGAGCTTTCTCGAAAGATTCAAAGGAAGTGAATGGTAGGAAAGACCTGCACTCGGTGGCAGAGATGTAATTTTTGCATCCTGGTTCAGGACATCTGATAGGGACTTGACAAGATTGTACTTTGCTATCAACGTAGGCCTTCAAGCAATGTGAACAGAACTTGTGTAAACATTTCATGGTGACCATAATTGGCATTGGCTTGTCCTCACAACAAATAGAACAACTCTCAAGTAGACTTTGGCCATTCACTGGAAAAGTGACAAGTCCAATTGCTACTTTGGCTAATTGCAGTGGCTGCTCAAGATCAATACTTGGAACATGATTCAGAATAAAGGCTTCAAAATTACTCGCAAGTTCCAGTATCCTTTCTCTCAGTGCCATCAAAAGTGGCATCTCAAGATTTTTCTCAAGTGTTATCTGTAAAAATATTCACATTTCAACAAAAGCACAGTTAAAGAGAGGTGACCTGAGAAAACACAGACCAACCAACATCATTGAATTATTAGAGGCCAGTGGCACATGTCAATTAATGTAATCTTAAAAGTAATTTGTGAAATGTTATTAGTTGATGTTTAAATGATCAAAGAAATACTTTAACAGAATGTTAGCAGACCTCCACTCAAAAGTGGGCATGTCTCAGTTAGTTAGTTGGTTAGTTTAAATAATAGGATGGGAATAAAAGTGAAGAATTTTAGAGAACCAGGTTCTTGAGGAGAGAATCCTACTTCTGTATCATTCTTGATTCCGTTCTGTATCACACTGATACAGATCAGAGGTTGTTCACTGCAATAAAGATTGTCAGTTCATCTCAATTCTGCTCCAGTTCTATTAACCAGTATCAAAATCTCCCAAATCCAAGGAGTTCTTTCATCGATTACACGAGAATGGAGACGTGTCTGATATCTGTGAAGAGGGGCTTTGAAATGTTGATGTAGGGATTGGAGGAAGACCGACAGCAAGCTGGAAGAGACTACAAAATGCAAGAGTTATGTTCTGAGAAGTTGGAGGAAATTCTTGAGAGTTTAACATGACGGCCCAATGGAGAGGGAATTTCAGCAAACACCAGAGGTAGCCAAACAGCAAAAGGGGAGGAATGAATAGCAAGTCTAGAGGGGGGAGAAGAGCAATGGAGGAAACGAAAGAATCCCACATTATCGAGAGACAGCGCATATCGATAGGTCAATCAAGTGAGATGCTATTTTTGGCTCAAGGGAGGAGCAGAAGAGTAGGTCATTCCTATCACTAGGAGTAGTAGTGATGGTGACTATGGGCTCAAACCCATCTTCTACAGATTTTCGAGATATGGTTATTACTTATCAGGAGATTCCAGCCAAGAATAATGCAGAATCCAAATGAGACGCTCTTGGGTTTGAAACAAATGAAGTCAGTCGAAGACTACCAGGAGCAATTTGACTATCTGAGCTCTTGCTGCAAGACCTAGAGTATCTGGGTGTAATTTTCGTGACAGCTAGAAGGAGGAGCTGAGGGTTGAAGTGAAATTACACCCAATAACATCTCTGACCGAGATAACGGATTACGCCCAGAGGATTCATGAGAAGAATTGGGACTTAAGTACTTAATCAAGGGAGGGTTATCTTGAAGTAGTCAAGGTGGGATGGCTTATCGAAACCAACCTTTGTCCAAAATAGCAACCTATGAAGATGGGATAAACAACAAGAAGGAGGCTCAGTGATGGATTATGCAATACAAACAAAACAAGGAGGAGGCTCAGTTCTACTACAGACATGGTGATAAATGACAAAGGGCAAACCTGGTGAACTTTACAGAAAATAGGGGTGAGGGTGAGGGTCGATTCTACATGACCTTAATCTTAGAGGGTAGGTGTGAGGGTAAAAAAAAGATTCTACATGGCCTTAATTTACATTTTATCAAATAGACTGTTTTCATAATTGAGAGAAACTTCAGTACCACTGAATCTTCAAATTTTAACATCCTAGTGTTTGCCTAGATCTTCATAAAACAAAGGAATAAGATTAAAAACTGAAATGCCAACCTGATTGTACAACAACTCAGAATCTGTAAAAGCATAAACCCTGCGGATCTTGTTCCTCGTAGCTTCCAGCAAACCATCCATGAGAGCCAAGTAGTCAACAAGTGGTTCCTCTGCATAAAAATCAAGCCTTTTCTGCACCCGAATAACAGGAAGACTTGATGCTCTTTCCATGAACACTCCAATTCCAGAAAACCCAGAACCAGAATTTACAACCCCGGATATTGACAAGCCCTTGAAGAACAACTTCACTGAAAATTCATCAAGCTCATCCTTCAATTTTTCCTCCTGAACTTCTTTGCATACTTCATCGTCATCTTCACAACAACTGCAAAACTCATCTTCCTCTTCCTCTCTTCCAACACCCTCTAAAACTGCCTGATCCTCCATTTTCCCAACAAATCACCACACTTTACCAAACTAGTGAACTTCAAGTTCAAGGAGTCATGGCATCAACGAAACCATTCCTTCCTTCAGACACTCCAACTCAATTCACAAAGGAATCCACGTAAAACTGCAACCTGCAGTCACAATTCTTCCAACAATTAAACCAATAAAAAAAATAAAGATAAAAAATAGCCCTTTGGCAAGTAATGTATTGAAAAATCAAAATCCAAGCCCTCCCCTAATTTTTTTTTATTTTTTTTCAACCCAAGAGAGCATGAAATACACATAAATTTTTCATTTTTGGTTTTGAAAACAGATCGAAATGAGCCCCAGAAACGTCCCGTAAGTAAGTAATAATAACAAGAGAAGAGAGAGAGAGAAAGGAAAGGAAAAAAAAGGGTATAAAATAAACCAAATGAAGTGAAGCTTCCATACCATTGATTCTGTTCCTGGATGGAATTTAGTTTTATTATTCTTTTAATTTGTGATGCTGAAAACAGTGTCTGCAACAAAATAAAACCCTAGTCTAAAGACAAATACTAACTGAGTAAATGTGGCGTGACATCTGTTTTTTCTTCTTTGTTTACTTACTTGGATTAAGAAGTGGACAGAGAAAACAGGAATCTTCGGTTACTGGGGTGAGAAAAATTAAAGCTGAGGAATTTGCTGGCATTATTTGTCTTGCATAGTGTTCCTTAACTACAATGCCATACCCTAAACCCAAATACCCAATACTGTCTCGTGTCTACTCACTCCAAAGCCTCCACTTTTTTTGTTTTTTTGTTTTTTTTTATCATAAGTTATTCTATTTTTTTTATCTTACTTTTACTTATCACTCTCAAAATCATTAAATCAGAATCTACATAAAGGAGAGAAATAATAAAGGTAATTAAAATTCTAATTTAACGATATTAAAAAATAAATAAAAAATAAAAAATAAAATAACTTATTCCTTTTTCCACATATAACTGTGAATTGTATTAATAATTTTATTTCCAAATTTCAGTAACATTTTATATAGGCCATTATGTTAAACAATAAAGACCTGCACTTTCCTTTTAATATATTGTTTATAGGAATATGTTATACTTAAAATATTTTTCTATTACAATCTTTTATAATCTTTTTTATTATTATTGAATTAAAATTAAATTAAATGACTCTCACTTAATATAATTTTATAACTGTTAATTTAATTTTAATTCAATAATAACAAATAATTATAAATAATTGTCAGTAAAACCCGCCATTGTTTAAATTTATATTTGATTACTTTTGCACACACCAAGAGAAGACTTTGTAAAGGATTTTATGAGCTAAAATAACTATCACTTTCCTCATTATTGCATATAATTTTATATATCTATATTGCATCGTTACTGGCCCAGTGAAATGCACTTAATCTATGTTAAAAACAGAGTGTGCGAAAATATAAAAAATGCTTCTGATTAAATAATTTGTTTTCGTTTGAAGTTTGAAGATATTATATTGGTCTAGTCCCGAATTTATAGTAATCTACTCGTTTGAATTTTTAACAAACAAATAATTCAGCGGAAAAAATCAATAAACTGACAAAACTTTTTAAAATAAATTTATAATCGACCCAAGTTTATAATAATTGAAGGGTCAAGCATCATTTTACACCAAATATTTTCTCATTTTGGATAGTTTACTTTTAAAATTAATATATTTAATGATATTCTTAAAATAATTTTATCATGTAAATATGAGGAAAGATATTGTGACAACCAAGTTGTGTTACTACCAAGTGACTACCAATCAATCTTACCGTTAGATCGACTATATTAATCCAACGGTTATATTTATTTCCAGTTTTGTATGGTCATGATTCCCCATATTTAAAGTGAAAGCATTAAATATGGGAAATCATAACCATGCAAAGGTGAAAATAAATATAAAGTATTAAATTTGAGAAATCATGACCATACAAAGATGGAAATAAATATAACCGTTGGATCAATATAATCGATCTAACGGTAAGATTGATTGGTAGTAACACAACTTGGTTGTCACAATATCATTCCCCTCTATTAAGTGTGGGCTCTTCATTAGTTTAGTCCGAACATGAGAAAATAATTATCATGCAACAAGATAAAATAATTATCATGCAACATGAAAAACCAATTATCATGCAACATTACAAAATCAAAGCCCATATATATACGGGATTGATATTTGTCTTTTTAAAAAACAGAAAATTATGAATTTTACGTGAGAGAAATAGATACACGATGAAAATCATGGAGAAAAAAGTGATTTTTTTAATTTAAATTTTAAATAAAAAATACTAGTTTTTACTAGAATGACCATTCTTTAAAAGTAGAAATATTTTTCACACAACACACACACATATAGTGTTTAGCGGATGTACATGACTACATTATAGTGTGAAAACATTAAATTGGGAAAATCATAACCATACAAAGGTGAAAATAAATATGAAGCATTAAATATGGAGAATCATAACTATACATAGGTGGAAATAAATATAATGTTTCAATTTTCTACAATTAATTTTGAACGCGAACTTTCTTTATCTCGCCCAAAATGACGTAGATTTTCGGTTAATGCACCAATGCTTATATGCAGTCACATTACAAATTATTTTGCTATATATATATATATATATATATATATATATATATATAGGGAAAAGTATTTCTCGAGTCACTGAAGATAAAGTTATCTCTAGTGAGACCAAAATGATATCGTTTTAGAATTGTAAGATAAAAAAATTATAATGATAAAGACTAATATAATCGTACAATAAATTAGAATTACAAAAACACCATGATTTTCGCCATAAAATGACTTCATTTTGTGCTCAACGGAGATAACTTATCTTCTTCGACCGGAGAAATGTTATCCTCATATATATATATATGGGTGGTAAAAAAATTTCTCCAACCGCTTAATGTCCAGCAATGACGGGTGTATGGTTATGGTTCCCCACGTTTTATTATAGTCACCTATATATATGGTAAATAATTAACTGATGGACGTCAAGCGGCTGGAGAAATATAAACCCCGTATATGGACAATATCAATTTAGTGTAAGAATAATAAATCTTAAACTCAATCTTAAACGTTGATTTCCATCTATCAAACGAATCTAATTAATTGGATTATTCTCATTAATTAATTATTAATTCTCAATAAATTATAATAGTCAGATGTCGAAAATTAATGATTAATATTGAGTGTAAGATTTACTTATTATATGAATTTTTTTTTTGATAACATACTTATTATATGAATTTTGGCAAAACACCCTTCGTTACTTCTCTTAACTCCCAAAACGATATAGTTTTGGGGTGACATGATAAAAGATAAACTCATATATAGGGGCAGGATCCTTTGACACCGGTGTCAAATTTTAAAATTTGATACCAAATTCTAACCGTTGATTTTTTTCAATCACAATTATAATTTATTGTGAATTAATAATTAATTAATAAGTTTGATTGACAGAAATCAATGGTTAGGAATTTGTATCAAATTTCAAAGTTTGACACTGATGTCAAAGATTCTGCCCTATATATATAGGGAAAAATATTTTTCAAGTTGCTTGAGATAAGTTTATCTCCGGCCACACCAAAACTACGTCGTTTTGTTTATTTATTTCCTTATATTAATTGATTTACCTTTGAATGGTTATGATTCCCTTTTTCTCTCTCTTCCTTTATCACTGTTGATCCATCTTTGTAAGGTTATGATTTAGTAGCCGGAGATAACATTATCTCAAGCAGCTTGAGAAACAATAAGCCCATATATATATATATATATATATATATATATATATATATATATATATATGAGTTTACATTTCTGCAGCGGTTGTACGTGCAACAATCAAATACTTGTCATATATATGCTTGAAAGCCTTAAATGTGAGAAATCATAATCACACAAAAGATGAAAGCATTAAATGTAAGGAATCATAACCATACACCTGTCGTTGCTGTACGTAAAGCGACTGCAGAAATGATTTTACCATATATATATGGGTTCGATTTTTCTGTAGTTAATGCAGATAAGTTATCTGCAGTAAGCCCAATACGACGTCGTTTTGGGACAGAAATCATGGTATTTTTGTAATTTTAATTTATTTTAGTGTTATAATAGTTTTTATATTTATAATTTTTAAGATTTCAATACTAAAACGACGTCGTTTAGGGAATAAATGCAGATAACTTATCTGCATTAACTGCAGAAATATTTTTCCCTATATATATGGTTTATTATTTCTCAAGCTACTTCATATAACTTTATCTCCGGCCACTAAATCATAACCGTACAAAGATGGATCAATAGTGATAAAGGAAAAGAGAGAAAAAGGAAATCATAATCATTTAAAGGCGAATCAATTAATATAAGGAAATAAATAAACAAAACAACGTAGTTTTGAGGTGATCAGAGATAAATATATCTCAAGCAGCTTGAGAAATATTTTTCTCATATATATATATATATATATATATATGTAGAAAAAATATTTCTCCGGTAACTTGAGATAAGTTTATCTTCGGTCACTTCAAAACTACGTCATTTTGTTTATTTATTTTCTTATATTAATTGATTCACCTTTTAATGGTTATGATTTCCTTTTTCTCTCTCTTCCTTTATCACCATTGATACATCTTTGTACAGTTATGATTGAGTAGCCGGAGATAAAGTTATCTCCGGCAGATTGAAAAATGATAAGCCCATATATATATATATATATATATATATATAAATTAGTGTTTCTCATGTTATAGGAGATATTTCGATCTCATACATACACACATAAAAGTATTTGGGATCCATATTTTTTTCCTCTCTCTTCTACACATGGTGTCACATGGGCTCCACACGCTTTTATATATAATACACATATGGACTCCAACATTTTATGTCTGTGTAGAAGATAAGATTATCTTATGCAATGTAAGAAATATTAATCCTATATATATATGGGGTAAGATCTTTTGACACCGGTGTCAAATTTAAAGTTTGACACCTCATTTGAGAGCTGTTAGATCAAAAAAGATCAACGACTATGATTTGTAAGCATATGACATCATTGATTATTTTTTTTATCTAACGGCTCTCAGATGAGATGTCAAACTTTAAATTTGACGCCAATGTCAAAGAATCTTACCCTATATATATATATATATATATATATATATATATATATATATATATATATATATATATATTCAAATAATTTAGAACCATATCCAAATTGAAACTAGAAAGAAACATACCTAAATAGCAACTAGAAAGATTAAAACTACAGTGAATTTGATTGAACCTTGTTGGCAGGTTCTCACTTCCCAAGTAATTGATTGAATCCAATGCTTTTGCGTGACTAACCTAACTAAGTTCATATCGGCATTTGAACTGAAACTTCCACAAAACTATCTACGAAGAAAAAAAGAAGTCCACAAAACTAAGTTGAAGCACAATGGGCTTTATGGATTCATTTTTTAGATTGAGAGAAAGAAATTTTAGTCTTTATCCCTTGATGATTGCCGATTCATTGACCGGGAATATAATTTTTGTAAACAAGCCGGAGATGAGTTAGAAAATGTAAAATTTTCCCTTGTTAAAAACAACCCATAAAAAAGCGAAGTTACATTTTAAAATTTAAATACAATATTTCCATGTGATGAGTTGAAACACCAGATGACAAATTTGAATTACCTACCATCCAGAGAAAAACTTGTATTTTTTTCTCAAAATGTAAAAAACTCCTCAATTGTCAAGGGTTTTACCAAAAAGAATAACAGCCCTTTAGGCACAAGCCCAACAAACAAAGCAAAGAGTCAACATCTTGTGGCCCTACAAATCATGGATTGGCCTCGAGGAATTCGCGTCCAGTGGTGTTTGGACTGCACTCCTAGCTGGGAATGAGAATATTGCTTGGGGCAACGTTTTCCTTTTCCATATTCAAGTAGAAAGTTAAGAATATTCATCCTCTGAATGCCTTTCGCCGTTGATATTATGCTAAAAGTGATCAACGGTTCAAGTTTGTTACCTGTAACCAACATATCAAGTAATGTTTGACACAAGGAATTTTTTACAAAGTTTGTACCTGAAAACGATGAAAGTTTTTATTGGATTTTACAAAGGGAAAAGTTTTTCTTATATTGATGGAGATAAGTTATCTCATGTTAATAACACAAAATTATAAGAGGGATCCACAAATAATTGAAAAAAGAAAAAATAGAGATGGTACCCACCTTTATTATGTGTGTGTAGGAATTTGATTTATCTCATATTGAATGAGATAAATATAACTCTTTTACAAAACCATCTTAACTTTTACGTTCCCTTATTTGCGGATCTCCATCCCTCTCTTCACCGGGATCTGTAGTGACAGTGCTAGATAAGAAATTAAGAATGAGTGTTTTTATATATAATGTATAAAGAGTCAAAGTAAATAGAAAAATAAAATTATATCATAATCATAACTAATAGCTATGATTTTTGAAGGAATTAATCCTCTCTCATGTGTTATTTCTTACCACGATCTCACATGAGAAAATCTTAATCATTAATAAGAAAATCAATAATGATGGAGAATGAAAGAGAAAAAATATTAAATTATAAAATGATAAAATTGTCACCATTAATTTATCAAGCAATTGTTAGAATTCTCTCGTAGTCATATTAGCTAACACGTGTGAGGATTATTAGATGCCAACATTTGATAAGTATTTCATCCTAATAATTCATTACTAATGTAGTGGAGCGGGCTGCGGACCGTGATGAGACTATTGCAATATGAATACTCTTCACCTGGTTATGATCATATTATGATTGCTGGTGATTCAGATGAGGATTTACTTGTTCCGTGACTTTCAGATGTCAGATACTGCCAGAAGTGAAGCTAATTTTTTTTTAAACCTCTCCTAAAAATGATATTGAAGATGATCAAACACATACTCTTATCTCTACCTACTCAGTTCTCTGACATCAACTAAGCTACTATTTATTATTATTATTATTATTATTATTATTATAAATGATCTTCCCAACACTGTTAAGTTTTTATTATTATTCCGGGCCCATCACAACATAGCAGCCGCTCCCCTCACAATAATTTCCAAACTCTCCAAATTTTGTTTATGCCTACCATTTATTATATTAGCCCTTGTGGTTCCAAAAATTCACATATAAACCCCAACTTTACTTTTTAATTGATCAGCAAGGTTTCAAGAGACACATATTCCATTCTCTGCCACTTCCTCATCAAAAAATAGGAAGACAATAAAAAAGACAGATAACCCCATGTGTTCATTCATGCCCCCAAGATTGGGTTTACATTTACTCTTCCCTAGCAGCAGCATATGATAAGGGAGTCATGGGGCAAATTATTGTACCTCTGGGTCGTAGGCAAAGGTGACCCAACACATTAAAGGCAAATGTCCTGTTGTGACTCTAACTTCCAACTATATCTCACATCATCAACAGAAAAAGAAGAAACAGACAAAGAGAAGAGAAGAAAAGAACAAATAAAGGAAAACAGACTGAACAAGTAATCCCTTCCCCTTTTCTTTAGGCTTGAAAAAAAGACAACTTTCATCAAAACCAGCATTTGAAGGGGTAAAATAAAACACCATCTTTACATCAGGCCCATAATACCATCACCATTCACATGATGATTGAGAAAGAAACAACTACTTCTTATCTCAGCAAATATATTTATGGGTAAAGTATTTTTCATCGTAAATAAGTTATCTCCGGTGATTCCAAAACTATGTCATTTTAAATTAACAAAGGGTGTTTTTGTAATTTTAGAGAAATTAATAAAAAATATTTCGGTAAAATTCATATGATAAAAAATAAATAAAATTATCAAAACACCTTTTATTAATTCAAAATGACGTGTTTTTGGAGATCACCGGAGATAACTTATCTCAGGTGACCTGAGAAATACTTTATCCTTTATTTATTTTAGAAAAAGTGTGACTGACTTAAATGGTAAGTCTTCAAGGAAAGTCCTCATGCATTTCATAAATATTTTATGCGGTGACTCCTTGGACATGAAATCAAAAGTAAATTTTGGCAACATTCAAGAAGATGACATTTACTAAAGTGTTATTCATGAGATACACAGTTGCACTTACTTGAAAGTGAAGCATGACTGTGTACAATTGAATGCAAACTACCCCACTTCACCCAGAAAATTATTTCTGAAAAAGGAATTTTATATGTATGGTAAATAAAGGAATGTCCACTTTGTGTTCCCTAAGATGTACAACAAATAATACACAGACCAGCAGATTATTGCAGACTTCTTCTCTATATATTTCGGTCTGCTCCTCCATCACATTACCGATATAAAAAATCAAGGGGGAAAAATAAACCAAAATTATAACGAAAAAATAAACTAGGTAACCAAAAACAACCTTTTGAAGCAAGATTAACATAGGATAGGTTTCAAATAATGAGAAACTGTACCTCATTGTAAACAGCTATATTCCACTGTCGAATTCTCTACATAAAAAAAATAATAAAATTTAAGTGTGGCAATCAAAATCCAGAGATGAAATGGTTGACACAGCAGAAAATTGTATAAGGCAATGTCAACAAGAAATGTGATTAGTGCCATAGCTGATTGCTTGAAGGCTTGAATCAGACATATTTGTAACCCATCTCATAGGGCCATTTGATTCTCCTGGTATGTTATAAGCATAAGAAGGCCATCTTACATCCGTTCCACACATGTTGTTGACACCCATTCTGATCATCTTCTGTGTTCTTTCAAGAACTATAAGACTTGAAAATGTAGAGAAACTGTTCCCCACAAAGATATCAGCCCGCAAACACACTTCATAATCAATTGCAGATTGAATTAGATATGGATACTTGCTATAAATTCCATCAACACCAAGTTTCTTCTTCTCAAAAGGTAGAAAACCTTCTTCCCAACCTTCTAGTACGGAAGAATTTTTAAGGAGTTTATCAGCTACTGCAAGATAAACAACAACCGGAGTCTTCAGACCTATGATGCTACCAACTCTTTCCATTATCTCTTTCTTGCTACTACAGATTTGATTTGTGCTTAATCTCTGCTCCAACTTTTTACAGTGAATCATCCAATCAATTTCTATCCTCATGTGGACAGCAACATATGGAAGAGGCTGAAATGAAGACCTATCATTCTCATGCTGCACTTCCATTGATTCAGTGTTGCCTAATACCTCACTTCCAACAGCTCTAATCCTAGACACAACTCTATCTGCTTCTTGAGCAATCTCATCTATCAAAAGTAAGCACTCAAAAACCTTTGCATAGTCCTTCACAGGCCAATGATCATGCCACAAGAAGGGGTTTTTACCAACTATCCGAATCACCTCATGGTCATCAAATGAGACACTGCTATGCTGTCTCAATTGATCCAAATCCCTCTCCACTGTCCACTTCCTACCACTTCCTTTCTGCATTTCAAGCACTTGTGTTCGATTTAAGAGATCAGAATAGCGACCCAGTTGGACAAACCCACTGCACAGTGCATTAAACTTGTCAAATTGGAATACCTTGTCAAAGGAAATGGGTTGCAAGAGGTCAATTTCTTTGTAAAACAAGGAGGCACTAAGGCTAGGCATCAATAGAGTTCGATTAAGCATTCTGGCAGTTAAGCAAGCCCTTGCAAATGCAATCTTCTGGTTGTTTAATCCCCACACAATCTGAGGAACCTCCAAAAACTTATCTTGCCTAACTCCAAAACCAAATGATGGAGATTTGTTGCGGATATATACAATGTTGCTCCATTCAACCCCACCAAAAACAGGGGAAGAAGGAAGCAACAAAGCTCTAAGGACCAAAACAGCAACAAGCAGAAATACACATTTGCAAGCTATGGAATTCAGAGTGCCACCACCCATGAACTTTGACAGCTTACAATTAAACAACATTTCCATGTCAGAATCACTCTCTCATGCAAAGCATCAATTTTTCTTTTGATTGGAGGAGCATTCAGACAATTAGTAGTGTGTCACTTACAAGGGATCAAAATTAATGTAGATAACTCATGCACATTTGTTATGAGTCAAGATCCAACTTTGAACCACAGCACAATCTGAGAGTGTTGGAGAAGGATTGAGATGTGGAACCAATTCTCAATGCAGAGCTCCCCAATAACGATTAACATCTATACAATCCAGATTCCATAAAAAGAAAAGAGAGTCAGAATCAGCATACAAGGGATGATTTATGGAGTTGCAAAGTGAAAAGAATAAATTTTGATTCAAATATATTAAATGATCTCAACTTGGTTTCATACTAGCAATTGAGTTTTTTTTTTTTTTTTTTTTTTTTTTAAAAAGCAAAAAAAGAAAAAGAAAAAGAAAAAGAAAGAAGCAAGACCTATGTTCAACACGAGACGCAAAAACAATTCAGATTAGGCCTTTTCAATCTCGGTAACAAACAGCATCAGCAGAGACATCCAAATAAGAACGTGTTAGATGAGCGTGACGATGAAAACGAAAGAACAAATAATAAGGGGTGTGTTTGGAAATACAAAGTAAGAATGGAATTGAACCGAAAATAGGGGATTGTGTGGTGAGGAAAGAATAAACCCGGAAGGCAAACAAAACATAGGAGATGAGGATGAGGATGACGTGTAAAAGCAAGACCCAAAAAAGGAGTAATTGAGAAAGTAAAGATGGGAAGAGGTGAAGAAGAAAGAGACAAGTGATGAAAAGGGAAGTGAGAATGGAGGGACCAAAAGGCGAAGGACAGAGAAAAAATGAGTCAGAACAGAGAGATTAGGCAAAAGGACAGGTGAGATTTGGTGCACAGAGCCAACTGGCAGGCAAACCTCCCCTGAGTACGATGTAAAAAACCTGCTGTCGCACAGTCACCACCATTCATAAAAAATAATAATAAATAGAGAATAATTTCTTTTTAACTTTTTTTTTTTTTTTTTTTTTTTAATTCTCTCAAAAGAATTATTGAAAAAACATTTTTCAATAAATATTCGTATCTATTATTTAGTTTGCTTTATTCTGAGAAAAATAATTTAGGTGTTATTATGCTTTATCATAATTAAGTTAATTATTCGTGACGAAAATAAAGTTGACTGAGCCATCTTCGGATCGGACAGATTTTGAGCTAGATTAAATCGGATTAAGAAAAAAAATATAAGTAATGATATATATTTGGATCTTATACACAAATCATAATTAAGAAGTATTTAATATTTCATTAAATAATTTTTTAATATTTTACTGTGACTTTAATATGATACGTAAACTTTTTAATTAATATTTTCTTACTTTTATTTTTTAACCAATATACTAATCTCTTCTGTAATTTTTTTTTTCTCTTTTTTATGGCAAACTTCTGCTATAAATTCTATTCGCTGGGGAAAAAAAACCTGTTAATAAAATAATGCATTTGTGCCGGCACTAGAAGCATAAATTTTCTTAATTTGATATAACTATCCTATTATAAAGGATTTTACATTTCTTATGTACATTTCTACAGTGTTATAATTAATCATGTTTACGTATTTAAAAATAAACAAAATACAATTGTAAATATTTATTACAAAGCTACTATTGACTTGAAATATTATGTAACTGCTTATCATATAATAATTTAATTCAGATCTTATTTATTATTTTTAAGCTTAATAAAAATGTACAAATTGGCAAGCATATTTATATAATTACAACTGTAACCTAAGTTATATAATCTATTTAAATATTCAAATACAAGATCCACTCAAACTTTAATTGAATTTATTTAAGGGTTTTATAAGAGTTATGTTGTAGGAAAAATGATTGTGTTATGTTATAGAGATTCGTTTTGCGTGCCGAAGTTTTTTTCTTTTTTTTGCTGCGGGCCACACAAAATGTTGTGTGTAGGAAATTTTTTGTAATCATATTAAATGATAGATGATAAACCCTTTATTTAAATACTTTTATGTTGCACAAACTATACACGCTTTTAGTAAAACGCGAAATACATGGGAAATGCTTATGGATAACAAGGTAGACAAGCGTATGCGTATCCAAAAAAAAAAAAAAATAAGGTAGAGAAGTTCAAAAATAAAAAAAGTTAATGTATTTAAAGTTTGGGTAATATTTTTCTCTTTTTACATGACATAAGTAAATTTCCTTCACAAACATAAAGGTGAGTCCATCAATTCTTTTACTTTTCTTTTATTTTAAAAATATTCAACTCCACAATTAATTATTTCTATGACATGACTTCAGAATTTTCTTACAACATGATACTTATTTTTTCCTTAAATTTCTCATTTTATACGCCGAAATCACAACTCATGTCATGCTACGTAAGCATGGAGCGGATTTGTCGGGCCAGTTTGAAATTGAAAGGAGCGTTATCTTCTCCCATCCAATTTAATTTACCACTTCATACTTTTATTCCTTTCGCGTGTGTTCCACCTCGATACACGCAATTAACATTTTTTATAATAGTAAAATTAAGACTTACACGTCATTCCAGGTTAGTTCCAATTTATAAATTGCTCTTTATTAAAATGAATGGGATAACGTGCACTTTATAATTTTCAATTTTGATTTTTGAGGTCACAGTTCTCCATGTGTCTGCACAAGATTCACACAAGTAATCTTTTATTATTATTGTCACAATTATAATTTAAATTTTATTTTTATGTTATATAGCTATTCTATTTTAGTATGACTTTTTTTTTTTGATTTTTTATTAATATCTTGTTTAAATTTTTTTTTTTAGTCTAACAATCAAAATTATGTGTTTTTCATATATTAAAAAAGACACATATTTATTATAAAAATATGCATTATTAAAGTATCTTAAAATGAGCTTACCAAAAAAAAAAAATATCTTAAAATGAAATTATGTTACAGATTTATATTTTTTATTTTAATCTTGTAAATAATAATAAGTAAGTTCTCGGAGGATGATTTTGTTACAGAGTCACAAAAAATACAATAAAAATATATCATTTCAATCGTTGCAATCATTTTGTTCCTTTCTTATATTTTTTTTTTTTCTGTTTTATAGGTTTCTCCAAGGCCCACTTCTGTCATGAACCCTCTCTTAGAACAAAAAAAAAAAATTATAATTTTATTCAATTTTTATTATATTTCATTGGTATATTTATACTAATAATATTAATATGAGATATATAAAAATTTATAAACATTAGATAACTTAATAAATTTTTTTTATTAATATATGATATCTTTAAGAAAAAAATTATCAAAATACGACCAAAATTGAGTTAAAAAAAATTATTTTTGTAGGATACAAAAAATAATGAGTAACAATTATAAATAATTTTAATATCTTAAAGGAATTTAATTAACATATCAAATAAAATATAATAACCTTTTTAGCACATGTAAACATATTGAAATAATATTATGAACTTTATATCTTAAAATTATTCCTAAAGAATATAAACTTTAAATATTTACAAAAATAAATACATTGATAGTTTGGTTGTGTATAAATATATTAAAATTTTAATTGTGTTCATGGAAGGAGAATTAGTAACAATTAATTATAATATTGGCATTTAAAAACACTGGCCAACATTATAATTTTATATATGATGTATATTATGAACTTTTGAAACTTTAAGTTTTAATTTCTTTTGGCACATATTAATTGATATCTTTTTACTATAAACTGAAATTCTATTAGGTCCGATCCAGCAAAACTTACAATTTCAATAAATAAATAATAATTCTATTAGTAGGAGAAAATAGGTACAAGACTCATGTAAGACTTACTCATAATCTACAACTTTGCTCTTAATCCGAAGACTATCGATGACTATACGTATCACTCATAAATTGTGGTTTGAAGAGGACATCACATGCCTTGTCTAAGTAAATATGAATGCCTTACTAATTCATGAAACCAAAGCATAATATTAAAGAAAAAGAAACCTATAATCTATATGTTAATTTTACCCTTTTATCAAAACTATATACTAATTTGTCTCTCTCGAGTAATTGGGTCAATTACTTGAGTAAATGACTTATTAATTACTCGGTTAATTAGATTTAAATACTGTCAGATCTATTAAAGGAATAATTCTCTCACATAATTTTTTATTTTTTATTTTCAAAATTGGGACTCAAGATCTCTAATTAAGGAGAATAAATTTCATTATCACTTAAATCAACAGTTGTTGAGCTGCCCTCATCTTATTGAATATGATTTTGATTGAAATAAGGTCAAATACAGGAAGCCGCTAGATGATCCAATATTTTCATATGAACTCATGTTACACGATAGAATCCATTCCTCTTTTGTCAAAGTATAATTTTCACCATGATTTTAATTCATTTCTTTAAATCACTCTGTTGTCAAATTTTAGATATATGATAGTTGAATGAACAAGCTTCAATTAGTCGAGTTCTATCTTCTTAAAGGGTTATCAGAAATTCAGAATTATGATGTTAACTTCGTTGTTTATTCTTCCTAATGTTGGGAGACACTTTCCGTCGCATCAAAATGATATATTGCAATCCCCAAATAGAAGCTAGTTAATTTATCTTTCTTATAAAGTAAAAGATGATGTGGTTTAGGATGGGGTTCACCCTCAATGTGAGCATTTAATTGAGAAATAGAAATGCAATGAGTAGGAATTAGTTGCAAGCTGCGAATAAAAAAGTATTCACGTTACGTATACTTCATTCATGCCCTATATTGCTCTAAATTTCGTTTTCTTAATAATCGTTTGTAATTTTCCTTTTCCTTTTCATTAAAGTATTTCTTTTTTTTTGGTAAGGGTTTCATTAAGGAATTTGACCGCTGTATAAATATCACACATTTTTACTGCCCTATTTATTAATTCAAGGTTTCTAATAAATGTTTGAAGACGTCTGGGATTTTGTTTAAAAAAAAAATTATTCAGGCTTCTAAGTAAGGACTATGATATAGTCTGGTAAACAATATAAAAATTCATTTTAAGGAAATTTAGCAGCGCACTAATTGCGTAAAACAAATAAAGGCTTACTTTGCAAGTTGTAGCCAACAGTTACGTAGCTTGCATATTGTAGTGAATGCGAGGTAGCGAGAAGATAAGGAAATGCTGACATTGGTAAACAATAGAATTTTGAAACGTAACTGCCCTTGGCCATTGTGGCATACAAGAAGATAAGCACTGCTACATGGTATGCAGTCCCTTTCAGAAAATATAATAACAGATATCATAAAACGATAGATAATACCTTTTATTTAAGCAGGTTCACAATGACTCATGAAACCAGCTACCAGACACAACATCAGACTTACATATCAGCAAAATGACTCAAACCCTAAGAACATTTACCAACTAAAATTACATGAACAACATCCGACTTCAATAGGACTAAGGACAAGACAGTTTCACGACACACGACCCGTTAGATTCACGCACAAACTACTTAACTATTTCAAGTAGGAAAAGTAGTTTGTCCCAATGCAAAGAGAGCAGAAAAGTTTTACCAAAAGAAAAGAGGGCGCACAGAAGTTTTGAGTTCTTCTGTCATAACAGAAAGGAAGCACAGATGTAGGTCCTTCAGATGAAGAACATTGCGTTTTCCACATCAGCATGCAACTTGTAACACCCTGGATCATTTGACTGCGAGGTTGTTGAAGAAAGTGATGAAGAAGCCATAGGCGATGAAGAAGAAGAAGAAGATGCAGCTGAGTTTGGTGATTGCACCCCAATCCCTGCTTCATAGTATAATCGTCCTCTATAAGCAGCAAGGTCGGCATAGTACACCGGAGGGACTAAAGATACAGGTTTAGTGCACCTTGCATATGTAAAACACATATCATATATGAGTTTCTGCAAATCATTAGAAGTGAATTTGTGCTCATCCCACAAGACATGATAGTGAGTGGGCTTGCTTGTACCAAGGCTTCCATAGTGACTACAAAGGTAGAAGTCAAATTCAAAAGGGTGTACGACTTTTGTGTCAACAACTGTTCCAGGGAACACATTGCCACTAGAAGTCCCCTCCCTCGCACCTGCTGGAAACAATCGAGTCTGATGTCGTTTTTGTGCTACAATAAGAGTGATGGTTGGGAAGTAATTTGAGCGATGAAATTTCGTCTTCAAATCTTGTAGTTCCTCACTAAGAACCATATCAAATTGGCTCTCACTCACGCCATCACGAAAGATAACAATTTTTTCAGGCCTGACTTTGTTCAACCTATCATAGTAGGCAACAAGCTCGAGGCAAACTTCTCCAAAATTCAAAATTTTCTCAGTCCGACGGTCTTGAGCACAAACACGTGCTGCATAGCGATTTGCAGCAGGCCAATTAACTGTGGCAACCACAGCAGCAATTGATGGACTATTGGTGTCCTGGGAACCTGGATGATTGACATCAGCCCCTATGAACATGACATGACCTTCGCCCTTTAAGTGTGGGAGCGTATTATTGAGCTCCACATTACTGCCTCCAATTTTCGCATTGATCTTGAGAGCAAGATTTGTAAGATATTGGTCTTTACCCTCATTAGCATTACCAGACAAGCAGCATTGTGTCACTATGCCAACCCTGGTCTCAGAAATCCACTTGAGCCACTTGTAACCTTGATCCTTGTCGGCCATCACACAAAGAAGAAATTGCAGGCGGCGTTGACATTTTTTTTGAACCCTATCATTAATTTTTTCAAGTAACTCACATAGTAAATTATAATTCCCAAGTTTCCACATTTCGGAACTTTCATACCAAACAGGCTCCTTCATGTAAATCCCCAATTTTCTGTACTTATCAATAAGGTTCTGAACAAATTGCTTGCCTTTTAATTTGCGCCAATTATGGCCATTGCTGGTAAAATCAAGAATGCCCCAACACTCAACTGGCTTGCCTTCCACCATCGACTTTCCAACTAGATTCCATTGACATTTCTCTGGATCCAGTGTCATACTAATAATCTTGCCATTTCGATCACCTAACTTCAATACTGGGGGCCCCATGACACGTCCTTTCAAGTTTGTCATGGAAGTGTTGACACTCATTCCAAAATTTTGAAGAATACCACCGCTGTCAAAAAAGATATTGTGAGACATTTGTGTCTAACAATTTAAGAAAATAAAGAGTGTGGATCAACAAAATATGGTGGAGTATATATACAAGGAGATAAACTGACAATTATGAAGATAAATGGCTCATGAAGTTATATGTCCACCCGTTACAAAGGAATGAAATTAATACTAAAACAGTGGCATTACATTTTCAATTCTAGTGCTATACATCTAACAAGTTTTTGTTGACTATAAATCAACTTACACTCATGGCACCAAAACAGTTTAAACACAATCATGTCAACAAATGAGGAGAGAATGCACCATGCATGGGACATTTAAGGATGTGTGCTAGTGTTCTATGCTACAGCAGGCCTTTAAGAGCGCCCTTGATATGTACTTAATTTCACCTTTAGAAAACATAATGAATTGGTTCTTTAATGTTGGACAGCACAAAGCAGAATGGATGGAAGAAACGGATAAAACTCTTAAGCCAGAAATAGTCCATATTTATATAATAAAACTAATCTTTCAGGTAAGCAGATATTTCGCCATATGCAAATAAAAATGTAAAACCATCTTATTCCAGCAGTGTCAAGAAAGACTGATGAGAGAAGAAACCAGAGTACCAAAACAATCCATACTTGTATTAGTGAAACTAAGCATATTTAAAACAGGTAATAAATATGCAGCCAAGGATGTAACAATGTCACAAAAGTAACTAAAACTCGTGTAGAGGAAAATAATACATGTTCCGAAAAGCATACTCATGAAATTATATTCCCCTTACCCGCATGGTCCATCGCTGGACTTCACCATCGTCTGTATTACAGCTTCCCTCTCCCTTGGATGAGGCAATGACATACCTTTCAGAGTCTTGGAAGCATGATAGTCCAAATGCTCTTTAGGGTATCTTTGACCCTCAACTAAGATGCATAACTCCATAGGTACATAATTCGTCTTATTCCCTCCAAAGTCTAAGGCTGGAATATCTTTGTATTGAATGTTCACATTATATTTATCTTTAAAGTAGGCAAGAAGACTAATGTTCTTCGGGGGATTTTGGCCCTGGGGGTCCACAATAGTGAAATCGATATGCTGTGTATCCTTGGATGTTAACCTGGCAATAGTGTATTTCTGTTTGGTTCTCCGATGGGTGACATTTACTTTCAATCCAATAAGTGCCTGCTCCACATATTTCTTGTATTTCCGAAACTCAGCCAAATTGAAATTCTCAATATGCTCATGCAGGAAATCTAAGACAGACATTTTCTTTCGAAAAGACAAAACCGAATAGTCCAGGCATAAGGACAAACCTTGAGAGGTAGTCTTGAGACTATGTTGAAACCCTCCTATTGCAATTATTCCATGTTGAAGATCCCTCTCTACCAATGGAGGATTTGTGGGATAGAAGCTTCTTCCCACAGAAATAGTGCGCCTAGCTGGGTTCTCCTTCACCACCAAATCCATCCCCTGTAAAATATCCCTAGGAATGGAGAGGACATTGCTACTGAGGTAATCCTTCAACTTGCGGAGCTCGAGCTTGTTCACGAGTGTCAAAGTAACATTATATGAAATGGGCCTTTCATCCTCTCCTTTAGAGACATCCACAGAAAAGGTTTCCTCGGGCAAAGGCACCGCACTGAAGATGTTCTTTTCACCATCATAGGCAGTCATCAATGAAGGCAACCTCTGGGGATGATCAGAGAACAATTTGTCCCTAATCATGGACAACTCGGACTTTAAAATCTTCTTAGGATGCTGACCCTTTTTCGGCGGCAACTTCGCCTTCACATCCACATTATAGTGCATGATTATGCTTTGTGGATTGAAGGTCACCGGAAAATGATTCACTCGCAGATTGCAGTATCGAATTGCTAGCGTTCCGCCTTTATCAGGCCTGTGCACGGGTGTAATCTTTCCCACTGCCTGCTCTGAATCTGATATTTGCAGCACTCCAATATCTGTACCGATGAGAAGGCCATTAATTTATTAACATTGATGGATTTTACATGTTTAATAATAATAATAACAGAATAAAATTATAAATTAAGCACAGAAAAGAGTGTTGATGTTGGTTGCCATTAACATTTTAACATTGATGAATTTCATACCCCTAATAATAATAAAACTAAAAGTAATTGGAAAGAGACTATTTTCCGAATTGGATAATAACAAAATAAAATTATAAATTAAGTTGATGTTGGTCGCCATTAGCTAATTAACATTGATGCATTTCACACACTTAATAATAATAACGAAATATAAATATATACATTGAGCATATAACAAATGTGTTAATGTTGGCATGAACTGAGAGTAGGATTTGAATACCTGGTTGATGAATTTGAGGGGGAAGATGTTTGGATTTGGAGGGTTGAGGAGGATTTGAAGATGATCCACTATCGCTATAAGTCTGGGTTGAGGAAGAAGAGGGGTTCGGCCTTTGCTGCCATTGTTGTTGTGATTGGGAAGAAGATCCTCTGCCTCTGCCACTGCCACCACCAGATTGTGGTTGCCGATAAAACCCTCTTCCTCTGCCACTGCCACCGCCACCTTCACGGCCGCCGCCGCCGCCGCCGCCGCCGCCTCTATTTCTGTATCCACCTCTTTCCATTGGGATCTGAATTGGAGGAACCGGGAGCAAATAAATCAAAACTAAAAACACAGTAACACTGACACACACTGTCTGCACCACTACAAACTACTACCACCCACCCACCTACGACACAGAATCAATTTATAAAGCCAAATTACCAAATTACGTGAATGCCCCTGGTAATATTTGGCAGTATCTTTAATGTTTAAGGAAATTCGGTGGAAACAAGGTTTGTTGATAATGAGAAGGATTGAGGAAATAACGGAGCAAACGAGGGGTAACCGGGGAGACTCTTTTTGTCATTATTAGTCAAATTTCATCCAATTTATTTCTGACTGACTTTCCTATACTTTTTTCATTATTCTAAGGTGACGTTCGATAGAGGAGAAATTCTTTTTTATCTAGAATCTCGATTTTAAGAAATATAATGAAAACATTCCATTTATTATAATATCTAAAAATTAAAAATTTAAAAATGTTTAATTTCTCAAAAATCTTACAAAATATCTTGTACCAGACTTTTCCTGATGTACGTGAATTACCGGGCATGCCCAAATACAAACATCAAGTTATCTCATTCGGGTCAAAAAAAGAAAAGAAATATTCGAGACCATCATTGCACGCGGTTTGGAAACTTATATGGAAAAAAATGCAGGGCTGATAACGGTTACTTGTAATAAAGGGTTGAAGCATCTGTTCGACTTCCCGCAAAAAGTTCAATGCACACCGACCCAAAGGGGACGTCAATAAAAAAGGAAGTTGGGCCGGGCCCAAATTTTAGGGGACAAGTCAAGTTGTGTCAAAGTTCAACATCAATAGGATTCAGCCAACTCAGAAACCCCTACACTCTTGTCACACATGTTTGCCCAATCTCTTTTTCAGAAACTTAGGCTCTGTTTGAATACTGTTTTCAAAAACAGTTTTTTAGTTTTTAGAACAAAAAAATAAAAAAATTCGTTTGATACGGCCTGTTTCGTAAAAAAAGTTTTAAAAACTGTAACTGTTTTTTTGTTTTTAGAATCAAATTTAGAGAACATGTCTGAGTTGTTTTTGTTTTCTGTTTTGGTTTTTAACTTTCAAAAGAAAAAAAATATAGAAAACAATTGTTTCCATAATAATTCTACAAAACAGTTTTAAGAACAAAAAAACCAAAATACAATCAAACAGACCCTTAATTACTGATCAATCCAGAGGAGGATCGGTAACCTCTGATTATCATTACTTATATCTTGGATTTGTACATGCGTGGGGTTTAAAAAAAAAAAAGACGTTGCGACGGGTGGTAAATAACTACGTACAATAATAAAGGTGTAAAGCCTAAAATATAGGGTATGCATAACTAGATGATAGGATATGCTGAAAGTTAAAAATTGAGTTACTTGACATTTAAAAGCAACTCGCTTGTGATGATGGTGAAAGTTGAAAAAGGCAACACATTGGTGTGCTTACAAGAAGATGAAAGCAAAATTTTACCGTTTGGTTACTTGTGAAAAACACTTTCTTCTTGAATCCTCTTTTCCTTGGAAGCTTGCTAGGCAGTGACAAGATGGATGTTTTCAAGTGTTTAGGTTATTTTTCTCACGACTGCAATGCTATCTTGAGGTTAAGTGAGAGGAGCAACAATGAAGGAAGAGATAAAGAGTAGGGGGCGGCCAAGACTAGAGTTCCTAGTTAAGAGAGGCGCTAATATTCTTTCTTTGAAAGAGAGGGACGCTTCTTTGATGTTATATAATTAAAATTTTACAATCTAATTGAATAACATTAAGTAAGTCCATATCCACGAAGATATGGTGTATTTTTTTTTTTTTTGGGTAAGCTAAGACATGGTGTATCTTCTTATATATTATTTAACCATGAAGATAGATATCACATGATTTGATTTCCAATTAATAATAGACTAGAATTCAAAATCCAAGCTCAATGGATCATAACCATTTATAATCTCTTACAATCTTGATCAAATCCCTTAATTGTTGTAAGATACGATTTTATTTAAATAAAATAATAATAAAAATCTCTATACAATCTTATTACATATAGATTTGGATAATTCAAAATTATCCTTAATAACCTAACATCTTGATTTTAAATTTAAATCAACTTCAAATTCAATTTTATCATATCTTGTAATTTAAATTTGAATTCAAATTTGAAATTGAAAATTTCAAAATTCAAATTTCGAATTGCGCTAAAACTCATTTTGACCAAGTCAACTCTTTGATTTACTAGGACCGATGATCCAAGACCTTATCGGTCCTTCCAACACATTTGGGCTATATAGCACAGACATGCAAATTTTTTTGAAAGATGCGTGTCGGAACATGTTCCGACACGCGGTCAATGTTCCACATACGGTCAACGTTCTGACACGCTTTTTCGATACGCGGTCAACGCTCCGACACGTTTTTTTAAGCTCTAAATTTTATTTTATTAACCAAACATGAAAAAATATGGGTTCGCTTTTTCTACAATCAATGTATATAACTTATCTACATTGAGCTCAAAACGACGTCGTTTTAAGGCGAAAATCAAGGTATTTTATAATTATAATTTATTCCAGGGTTATAATAGTCTTTTTTATTATAATTTTTTAATTTTTCAACTCAAAACGACGTCGTTTTGGGAGCGAATGTAGATAACTTATATACATTCCCTGTAGAAACATTAAAGCAAAAAATAAAGTATAAATCAATTTTTTTCTGTTATGAAATTTGACATGAAAAATTAACAAGGTACGAGAAATTAACAAAGTACGAAAAATTATTTATATTTATATTTATATTATGAAATTTAAATATTTTATTGGTTATATGACTTATTATGAGTTGTTATATGTATTAAATATAAATTACATTATATATATTAAAAATATTATTTAATATCAAAACGTGTCCTAACGTGTCGAAATATGGCATTTTTTAGAATTAACGTGTCGGCGTGTCGTGTTGTGTCATGTGTCAGTGTCGGTGCAACATAGCATTTGGGCCCATTAGTGTAGAAACCAATTTCTCACTAATAGCCAAATGGGGCGCATAGTACTATTGGGCTTGGAATCCAACTCCAACCCAATTACATTTACAGTCTTAAAAAAATCCAATTACAATTATTAGCACAAACTAACTAGATATAAGCAATCAAGAATAACTTTAGTGTGTGACTCATCAGGCCCAATTAGTCACTGACATAAATAAATTTGGACCAATTAAACTCCTTTAACGGACCCAATTTATCTAATGACCACCTAAAACACTAGCAATGCTCTGCAGCCCCAGAACTATTTGAGTTGATCAAGTGCTCTACCCTTTTTATTTGGATACCGTACTGGCATCATCCCTCACATTGTCATTCACATTTAGTCGAGAGCAAGATAAAGTATCATCTTTCTCGATTGACTAAATATAACATTTCACAGAATTAGGAATTTTCTTCTATTGACTCTAAGACAAATCATGACTTCTCATAATCTCTTTCTGTGCACAGATTCCCGAGTCAACTAGAAGTCATTCAAGCCTTACCGGTCTTATGAATGACTAATCCCTTGTGGAGGATTATGAGTCTTATCGGCATGTCCATCTACACTCATGTATTCAAGTTATACCCTAAAAGTATACTATTCTCCTCATTTTTCAGGCGGATAGAGTTGTACAGTCAAAGCATAACCCTAAGACATAGTGTTTGATGACATCCTCAAGTCTAAGACGATCTGTACTACCAAACGATGAGAGACTTTACAAATCCAATGATACTCTCTCTAATGAATCCTTGTGGAGTCTCTCAGCGGGTCAGTTCAGTGCCATTTGTTCTCTAATAGATACACCCACAACATTGTAAGAACTCGCACCGTTAATTAATGAAGTTAATTAATTAATTATAAGAAATTAGGAAATAATTCCATAATTGACCCTAATAATTATTATGAGGCTTAGATAATTATAGTAAGTGAGTAATAATGCTGAAAGTCCCAAATACCGGTTGTGGTGACATCTTGAGCTTCAAGAAGCCATTTTTGGTGAGGAAGAACCCTTGTAGTGTGCCATTTTCGTGGACCCTTGGAAGTCAGACTTGGGAGCTTCATAGAGAGCTCCAAGAGCATTCCTTTCTCTGTTTTGAACTGTTGGTAAGCTTCACCAACCTTGATCATGTGTTTCCTTGGTTAAAAATAGAACCTTGATGCATGTAACAAGCTAAAGATCATAACTTAAGGTTGGGTAAGGTTAAACACACCTAGAAATGCATGTTTAAGCTTCTGCAATCGGTAAAAATGGAACCTTTGGATTGATATCTCGCGAAAATGTAGAATCTGAGTTCTGTCGCGAAATATCCGGATATTGGGTTGGAAATATTCGGATATTGATATCCGGATATGTATATCCGGATATGTATATCCGGATATTGATATCCGGATATGGGGTTCTGAAGATCCGGATATTGATATCCGGATGTTCCCCGACAAATATCCGGATACTCTGGGTTTTCGATGAACAGTAGCTGCACTGTTCATACAGAATGATGTTTGGGTTTGTGGACCCTAAACTGGGTAAGTTGAGCTTCTGTATTGATTAGTTAAGTCAGAATCTAAATGATTAAGGGCTTGTGGCTTTGTGAGAAGCCTTAAGACACAAAATGTAAAGAAAAGACGTTGTCCTTGTGTCTTATACTTGTTGAGTATGATTTTGATATGATTGTTGGTCCAAAACAGGTTGTGATTCTGCTGTGTTTGGGCTAAGATTGGTTGGACTCTTGACTTGGATTGTTAGCTTGCAAGGTAAGCTTTCGTGTCCTTGGTTTAGCCATTGTTGGTTCCACCATGCCCCATGGGGGTATGATTATATGCATGATGTTTTTTTCATGATATATTGATTTGTGAAATGCTGTTGAGCTGTTATATGCGAGTGCCTTTATGATATGCATGTGGTGTTCCACCTATACGGTAAGCCTGAGTATGTGGTACATACAAGAGGGTGAGGCTGTGAGTGAGGTGCAAGCGATGTTCCTTGTACTTACTGTGGGGTTGTAGACGTACGCCCTGCATTTCTCTGGCCATTAGAATAGTGATAACACACATGGCATGAATATCTGTCGCACTG